AGGCTCAGAATCTAGCAAAAAATATCGTAGATACTTCAGATGCTTTGGTCCTGCCCATAGGGGTGCGACCAGGGCTGGAATGGGTTCGGGACCCCGTGCCAAGACTCGGGTGGAGTTCTTGGGCTTGGCCTGCTTCCCTTTTGAACGGCAAAACCGTCGCCCTAGTTCCAAGATCAGGGTATCAGCTCTATTGTTACCCCCCAGGGTGGCTTTGAACATCAGGGCCAGCTTAAAGTGAGCTTCCCTTTGGGGTGATGTTTAAAGAGGGATGATTCTTAGGGGGTGCTAAATCACAAATGGCCAACTAAGAGTAGCAACTCAGATCAAACCAATTCCAACTTCCAACGGAAAGCTCTTTAGTACTGAACACCTGTGCCGCGCCAACTGCCATATTTTGGTTGGCTCAGCTTGTTAATCAAAGACATGTACTATGACACGTACCCAGAGCAATCGTGCGAAGCTCAGCATGTCCAAGTTGCTCCACTACCCGGAAACTATTGAAGGCTTCCGCCAGACCAACCTATGAAGGCAACCTATGTTTGCTGGGGCTCTTGAAAATCAAGCCAATGCCGGCACCCGTTTCCTTCTCGAGTTGAAGTGTACGTCAGGTGGGAAGTTGGGGACGTATCTTCATTGCTGAAATGGCCATCAACATGTCGCTGTCTAGGTCGAGTCTTTTCGTTTCAGGCGAAGTCAAGGTACCCCCCGCTTTCCGAATCCTCAGGCGGCGGTTGTCATTTGGATCTTTCGAGGTATCTCCTTGTTCCCCGCACATGGAACATTTTTTTGCATGTGTCCAACAACAATTGCAAGACCCCGGGGCCCAAAATGGAGGCCTTCGTTGTGCGGAGTGGTTTCCTTGAAACCCACCTGCCAGGGGTACCTGGACCCTGAAACTACCCATAAAAGTTGGCTGGGCAATCCCCACACTTTTTTCGGGTGATTCCAGTTTCTATAGGGGCAGTTTGAGGGTTCACGTACCCGGGAGAAAATAAAGCCAGAACCGCGGCAACCCCCCTTGTCCGAAATCGGTACTGCACGAGCGAGGTCACCGATCCGAAATTGCAGCCATTCATCCATGAAGGCCCTAGTGGATCCCTCAGTTTAGGTTGGTGAATAGTATCTCCGATTCCCCTTGCAATGCTTTGGGAAAAATCAAGTCTTGATGGCATTACATCTAGGGTGTTTGATGTAATCAAGGCGGGTGAATTTCATAATGCCTTATTTCCGGCTGGTTCTTGCATGGCTTGAGGCGTCCGCAAGTGAAACCGCCCAAGCCGCGGGTATAGCAAGCCTATGCAAAGGGGCGGGGGCACGCCCTGAAAACAGGTCCTGGGGAAAACCATGTTTTGCTCCCTTACAGATGAACAAATGGTACCCGAAAGACGACCATTCGTGCCCCCCCCCCATTTGGGTTCCATGTTAAATAATTTGTACGGGAGTAAAATTTAGGGTCCTTGATTGTTAAACAAAAAAACACTTGAAGGCTCAGATTGCAGTCGATTGAAGCCGGAGACCCCAATAGGAGGAGCTGGAGAAATGCGGGGGCGCCAAGACCATCCAGCAGCTTGGCTGAAACTTGGGTCTGACCTGAACTTGGCGGCAAAGGAACCGATTTGTACTGTGTTGCGTGATTTGCGTGTTTTGTTTGCTTGCTTGCTTGCTTGCTTGCTTGCTTGCCTTGCTTGCTTGCTTGCTTGCTTGCTTGTTTGCCTGTTGTACCAGTCGTGTCACTTACTTTGGTTTTATGTTCCTCCATCTCTTTCCCACTGCTTCCAGTTAACATTGTGGTAGGTCGCCAAGTATTTGTACCTTTAGGTTTTACATGATGGTCTCCCCTGACTACCAACTTACAACGGTATCTGAAAGCACTGGGTTTGGTTTGGTGGCTTCCCCATTGGCGTCTCCCCGTCTCAGAATGTAATTGAATCTGCACATCTCGTTTTCTGCGTACAGATGCGAGGCAAGATTAAACAGGTTCCCCTTGCCTCTTTGCCCAGCAAAACCCGCTGGGCCCCCCCATTTTAAAGGGTCTGAAACGGTGGTCGAAGGCATGCGCAGCTCCAGATCGACCTCTTCCTATGTTCGGGGCAGGTGGCGCAATTGGACTTGGCCAAGCGCACCTTCGAGGAATCGAATCAGGGTGCTTCGGCCCTACTCACTCCGAAAGTTGGAAAGACCATTTCAGCGGTAATAGGAAAGTTCAGACTTTTTGTGGCCAATTCACTGGGACGGAAGTGATGCTAAGCTCTTTGGTGGTGGTTCCAGGGGTTCTCCGTCGGAAGTCTGGCCAGAAACCCTAAGCCGCCAAGCCCCAAGCATCAGAAAGTACCCTCCACATGGGGGGGATGTTTTGAGTGTTCGGGATCTCATTGGAAGGGTGACAGGGGGGGTGGCTAAATAGCGCACGCAGAGGACCAAACTCTTAGGGCAAAACCTTGGGGTCCTGACCGCCTAAAGCCTCAGGGCTGCTTCAGTTTTTGATTTGACCTCACGTCGGTAATCCTTGGTTCCTGGACCTTCAATGAACCCTTAAAGATGGTTGACCTCATGGTTATACTGTGGATGGTTGCGCCACGAAATGAATCCATGGTTGAAATAGGGGGAATCGAATCCTTCCAGAGTTTCTTGGGTGGTGCAGGATTTCGTCCGGCCACAGTAGGATCATGTTGACCCATTCTCATGGCCAGAGCGAGCATATGATTCCGCTCTTTTGGTCGTCAACTGGTTCCGAGTCGACGCCGGGGTTGAGTTCCTTGACCTAAGATGACCAAAAGAGGGGAAATTCTTGGGTGTCTTTTGGTCCATACACCTTTTTAGCACACGCCACCACAGGGTTGCTCGAGCCAGATGACACAGACAGCCTCAGTAGACAAAATGATTGCGTCGCTGGAGCTCAGGGGGCAGTTTCTCCAATTACCCTCCCAAGGGTGAACCTACCCCTGCAGGTGAGTAGGTTGTAACCATGCAACGGGTTTCTATCCTTTTAAACACTACTGGGCTCTTGTAAGACCGTTTTCCTGATTGAACTGGCTGCATTAAAGTGACGTCCTGAAGTGGATGGGAGCTTTCACTCTGAGCTCCTCTCCTTTTGGGACCCTTGAACTTATTCTTGTTGGGTGAAGGGCGGCACAATTCCTGCATGGTTTGACCATCCCACTTACGGAAGAAAGGGAGTTGTGCTATCTACAATCGCCCTGGTGTACCCCTGAAATGGTGGTTTATAAAAGGAACCCCCTTTCAAAAGTAGTGCAGAGAACCCCTGATCACTTGACAAAATATCAAGGGCTACTTCCAGGTTTGCGTTAGTGCGGTACTGACTGTGTCCATGTATTGCAGTTTTGTTGGAGGTTGAAGGTCTTGCCAACTTACGGATGTTATGAGCAGGCTCGAGAATGCCAAACTTCATGAGCCAATTTGATGTTCTGAACCACCTTGAGGGTCCCCGTTTTTGGGTGGTTTGGAAGCCACAAGTCTAGGGGTTGATTTATGTTCCATTCTTTTCAGCCATCGTTCTTTTCCAAAACCTTCCCCAGGGTTTCCTGACAAAATCGGATCCCTGGGTTAAGAGGTTAAGAGTGGAAATGGAAGTGTCCCCTAGGAAAAGGTCCCCGTTTTTTTTTGGGGGGGTGGTTTGGAAGCCACCCCCATTTCCGGGGAGCTCGGATCCCCCGTTTTTTTTTTTTGCTTCGTCGCGCGCGTTTGCGCATGGGACGCGTCGATCGCGAAAGCGCGAGGAGCTCGAGGCCACGCAGAGCGAGGCCTTTGCGCGGGTGCTGAAACACCTGGGCACGGTGAGCTTGAACAAGGACCGGACCGGACGCTTGCGGGGGGGGGGGGTCCCTTGTGGGGGGGGGGGCCCTGTAGGTGTGTCATGTTGTATTTTTTGGTTGTGGGGGGAGGGGAGGGGAGGGGAGGGAAGGGAGGGGAGGGGAGGGGAGGGGAGGGAGAGGGGTTGTTGGAGGGTGCTTGACAGGGAAATTACAAGGGAAACCAATCCATTGTAGGTTCCCCCTATGAGACAAACCTGAATTACCCTCAAAAGTGGTGAACACGCTCATACTTTTGGGGCGGTAACCTAGTTGTATGGGTGGTTTGAGCGGTTTGAGGGCCCAGGTACATTTGGATGTGTGTCGAAATAGGGATTTGGAACCCAACATATTGTGGTTGTCCTTTTGGTAGGACGACAAGTTCTGGACGAGTTTGCCAATTATATCTGTTGGGCTATTGAAAGGAAAACTGTTTTCTTCAAGGATGGTTTCGAACATCAAGTTTCAGGGGCTAATGCGAGTTCCTTGGGGTGCTGGTAGAACAAATAAATGCATATAAGTAGGAAATTGAGCGCACGAATCGGTGGGTTTTCCTTTTGGTCTTTCTTCAAAGCCACCTCAAATTGGGTCTCTCAAAAAGCCGCACACACGCAAACACCAATTCGGGCAAGCGGAGAAGAAGCAAATTATTGAAAGGATCCCAGTTTATGTAAAGCAGAGGGTTTTTGGAGCTATGCTTTTTGGACGAGTGTTTTGCGGTGTAGCTTCGAAGCGAAACTAAAGGGAAGCCCGCCCCCCAGTTTTGTGCGGGGATTCCCTCTTGGAGGTTCCCAAAAGTTTGGCAACCAAAAGGGGAAGCCGCAAACCCCGAGATTCAATTTATACTGTGGATGGACGAAGTCCTGCACCACCTAAGACACCCTGGAATGATGATTCCCCTGTAAATACCAACAAAAGTTGGTTTCCCATGTCCAAGTGGTGCGACATGGATTTCGTCCATCCACAGTAGGAAAGACAGGTTGCGGACAGGGTAATCTCGTACCCAGGTAACACGACGGCTGCTGTCCTTTGGATTTCCCTCTCGACTAAAATGAAAATCCAAGAAGAATCGCCCCGGAGACCAGCTTCTGCAAGCTGAGCCCCACTTCAAAGTGATCAACTCGCCATGGGCATTCCACTCGGTCACAGCAACAGCTAGGTTCTGCAACCCTGTGGGGCACCCTGAGATGATCACTTGAGAGGTCCAAGTTCAAACAGCAGCCTCAACTGAGGATTTGACGCTTGTAGCTGTTTGAGCCTTGGGTTTCCAGTCGGGTTCTTTGCCAGGGTGACCGCGACAAGGCTGGGTCCGTTTTTTTGTTTTCCCCCCGTCAACTTTGCGACCCAAAGAACCCCCCTAACATGTTGTTTTGGAGCCGGGCGGGTTTGCGTCCGAAGAGACCTTTGAGACTTGGGGGTGTTCATTTCCTGAGTTGCCACGCGGACTTTTGAACGCACTCGTGAAAACAATATGTGAAAGGTGGGAAACCCGACATGTGGGAAAGTGGACATGTGGCAGTAGGTGGAACTTGCACAATCCGTGTTGTATATGTGTTCTTGCTTGCTTGTTCTCTTTCTTCCTGTCTTCCTGTCTTTCTTCCTTCCTTCCTTCCTTCCTTTCTTTCGTTCTTTCTTTCTTTGCCTTGCTGTGCTTGATTTTTGCCTGCTTTGCTTGCCTCTCTTGTTTGGTTGTTTGCTTGGTTGGTTGGTGGCTGAACTGCAACCAGGATGCATTGAAACTCTGGTCGCTTTGGGTCCACTCTGGTCTTCTCTCTTTTGAGAAGCTCGGGAGAGCGCCGGAAACGGTTTGCGTTCTGACCCTTCGAACACAAGCCCAAGGCACTAGAAAGGACTGGGACCCAGAGGGGGTTGGATGGGGGTCTCCATTGGAATGGTTTGGACCTCAAGAATCGCGGTCTTCTCGGGTTGGATTCTTAGCGAAGAAAGCAAGGTCAACGGGATTTCTGGATGGGGATTTTCAGGGAATCGGCGGAGTCTCCACCCCTCACGACCCTGGACAGTCGGAGTTGCGAAAGGCTAAAACCGACAATAGCTGCAGCAGTTGTGATGTGAGCTTGGGGGCTGGGCAGCTTTGGAAGGAAGGGTAGGAACAATCTGTTGACTTGAGCTTGTCGCAATGTGCCCAAGGTCTTGCATGCCCGAAATGGACGTACGGTGATCTACTTGTATGCACCGGACCCATTGGGATATGTATCCTGGACTGTGCAATCCCCGCATCCATGGCAAGAGGGTGTTTGGTTATATGGCTGTGGCAATCAAAATTAAGCAGGGGCAAGCCGCGGGTTTTGGTCCATGTTCCTTTCCACTTACCAAGGCAAGCCATTTTGGAAAATTCCGGGTTTTTTGAGCCACTGCCATATCTATCCACTTACCGGACGGAGCCACAAGAGAGCCTTAGGGACCTAAAGAGTTGCTTTTGGCGACCGATGGATTTAGGGCCCTTAAATAGCCAGGGTTTGAGACCCCCAAAGCCCCCCGAAATGGTCCAATGGAGGGTCCAGGGGTGTTCATTCCCATGCAGGAACCTTTCATCAAATCGGATTTCAACCACCTCACAAATTCCAAGTGCTGGGTTTGGCTCAAGGGGCTTCGTGAATTACAAATTCCTTGCATCCACAAATACCCTCAGCCTTTGGGTAAGTCAAGTCAGGTCGATATTTGGTCAAAATCAAACGTGTTAAAGCGAGTTCAGGATTAAGGTCCTTTTTTGAGGTTCCAAGTCTTCCATTTGCTTAATAATATGTTTATTTTACCCTGTTGGTCTTGAAAAGGAATCTATCACTGCTGTTTTTTTTTTTTTCCAGGGGCTGAAGCAAATGGAAGAAGTTTCTTAGGGTCAGAACAATTCACCAAGTTACGCCTCCTGCTGAGTGCTAGGCATTGCACTTCTATGAGCGGTCCAAGTCCTGCTACCAGCAGCCGAGTGGCAAGTGAGCATGTTCAAAAGCAAGCCGTTGAACCCTTATATTTTTAAGCCTGTTGCACCGTCCCCCTTTGCACCTTTGAGCTGTTGGGATCTTGTGTTTGTTGGTATTGGTGTATTTGTTGTTATTTGGTTTGGCAAGTGGACCAGAATCTGGGCCCCGCATCTGGGCATGTGTTTTGTTTTGCGTTCCCCGGATTTGGGCTCAGCAACCACCAACATTGGGTTACACCGGCAAAACAGTGTAAGCCAGTGTTCCCGTTTGTTGTGGGAGGGTTGCCTCCTAAAAGGTCATAGGGTGTTAAAAGACTTGGAGGCGAAAGCTGCGTCACACGTGTTATTCCATGACTTTTCTGCATGTTGTTGTCTTTGTCTCAGGCTTGGCAGTGAACGGGAGAATGAGGACAGCATTGTTGTTTTTGCATAAATGGCCAAACACCCAATGCTTGTTGCATAGTTGCAGTGCAATTGCTCAAACATCTGAACCAACAAACTGCAGCCAACGCGTGGCAGAAATCCATCTCAATGGCAATCTGATGCCTCCATTAGGCGTGTAGACTGAAGCTGAGCCGGTATACAGTCTTGCAATGATTGCCACCAGCTGTCTGTACATTGAGTCCCCACTATGAAGCAAGCAGGTCGTTTGCGTGCTCCCCTTGTCACAGAGACTGTTCCGGCAAACTCATGTTTGCTGGGATGGACATGGTGCTCTCCAGACGCTTTTTTGCCAGCATCTGCAACCAACATTGGCCATGCATCAACCTGTGTGCGCTGGCATGTGTGTTCGTGTGCGTGCAAGCTTTCATAACGACGGTAACCTCCCCCCCTATTCCCCCTCCCCCAGCCCTGTCACAACTGCAACTTAACACATCACCGCCTGAAACAGCAAACAGCAAGAAATGCGCCTGGTTTTTTACCAGCCTGTTGCCTCCTAACAGCAGCCGAGGAAACCAGCAGAATAAGCTCTTTGCTCCTGGAGGAAGAATCTCCTCTAAACACAGCCAATAAGGAGCGAACCCTTTCCCTTTGTTGGTTTCTTTTGCCGAACAGTCAACCAAAGGTTAAGACCCTTTTTCGTTTTCAGTAGTTGCGCTTGTCCCTTGTCCCCATGCTTGGCACGACTGAGTTGCAATCATCCATTTGCAGCAGGCATTGTTAATTAGTATGTTCCCCTGTTGAAAGGGAGTCTACCACTACTGGAACAATAGTTTTTGTCCATGGGTTCTAAGCAAATGGAAGTATTCATTTGCACACATTAAATTTCTACCCCCACCCCCCGAAACCAGTCCAGAACACGGGGTTCCGCTTCCAGAAAGAACAACTTTGGAATGTGAAAATGCCCCTTCAACTCACCCTTTGAGTTCCTGGACCATATCCTTGTTGGAACCATTTTAGTGGTAAACGAACAGTTTTGTTGGTTTGTTTGAATCCGCTCAGGAGGTGAGCTGAACATGTTTGGATTTTTATGATCCCATGTTTGAAGGGTCTTAGAGTCTCGAGGTAGGTAAGGGGAATTCATTGCGTAGCCCATTGCGCTGAAGTCTCAAGGGGACACATGGGTGTGTCTTAAAATAGAGGGCCCCCTGTTTTTGGCGTTATTTTTGTTGCTTGGTTTCCCTCAGACGCTTCCACCAGCTGGTTCGTTGTTCTTGGCGTTTTGTCGCCTCAGGCTGTACCCCAAATCAGGGCTCCTTAAAAGAAATTCATTTTGCAACCATTTGAAACATGGTGCTTTTTCCACCATAAAGGGAACCACCATTTGCAAGTTGCAATGTTCAGGTGTATACTGTAAGGATCCCTGCCTTCCTGTCTCCAAAACCGTTTTATTTGCTAGGGTTGACTAAATAGGAACATAGACTTTCTGTGTACCCTCGATGGGGGTGAACCACATGTCTCGCATAGCCATGCTTGGTGCTTTTTGTTTTCTCCGTTTATTTACAGCCAACCCTGAAAAAACGCTACAAACAAGCGGGATATTCACCCATTCCTCAGAAGCGTGGATTTTGGAAAAAGGATTGGAACTTTCTGTTTGTTGACTTTTCAAGGGAACATCTTTTCACGTAGAGAAGCAACCCGTAGGGCATTTGGAGAAAGAACCCTGGCGGGAAGGTTGCTTGGAATGTCGCTCTGGGACTTGAGTCACTTTGGGGCTTTGGACCATAGAGGCAAACCAAATCTTTGTTTTTGTTGAGCCAATCCACTCGGGACCTGAGCCAATCAAAACCCGGGTAAGGTTAGTAAGGGACGATCCCAACCAGAAATAGCTGCGGATATCCGCCTTCTTGATCCTGTACGTGGTTCTGGGATTACGACCATTTTAGTATCAGGTGTTGATTGCGACTCACCTGAGGTTTTCAGTGCTTTCTTGGCCTGGGATCGTGGAAACGTTTTAGGGGTAGGACCATCGACATCCCCCGGATCCACTTGGTCCGAAGCTCGCGAGGCAAACGGGGCTGAAGTTCAGCCCCGGCTATGCGGACCTCCTGATGAACCTGGGCCGCATGCAGGCGGGGTCTTGTCTGAGGTGTGGCCATTTGTTGTTGTCCAAAGAGGTGACCCCCTAAGTGCGTGTCAAAATGGGTGACCATTCCTTTGTACTCTTCTTGACACCAAGTCTTCCATTTGCTGAAAAGCATTTGCTTGTTTCTTTCGCTTTTTGGTTTCAAAGGGAATCAATTTAGCCTCTCTTTTTTTGGGGGGGAGGAGGGTTTCTCCCAAGGAAGCAACTGCAAGAAGGCGTTACCCTCCAAAAAAGACATGCACCAGAAAATCCACCCTGGGCTTCGCCGTCCGAGGTTGTACCTCCCATTTGTTGGAAGCGCTGGTTTTTTACCTGTGAAACATGGCAGACCTCTGAGTCAAATCGACTCCGAATAGTGGTTAGCTCTGCAGTCTGGAAAGGCCAAACCTAAGATAATCTTGCGACCTCACAAAGGTTTTTTGTGAGGTGCAAACCCTCGCAATGGAGATGCAGACCTCTCCAATGGCCAACGATGCTTCGGGAATGGGTTTGTTGACTACCCAAGGTAGACCTGAGGTTCATGTGCCCATCGGAAAATCATAGCAAAATGTGGGTGTGTTTCAACATAGAGACACCCCTGCGAATGATGATTTCTCCCTTTGTTTCCCCTCAAACCGGCGCCAACAAAAAGACGCCTCCCCAATATGCTTGATGCAACTGCGCATGTTTGCTGGGCCAGGTTCTCGCTTTTCGCAGGTGCCGCTCTTGAAAAACCCGAATCCGAAACAACTCTCCACCAACTTTGCAGCGCATTTCAAACTCCCATTGAATTGCGTACACTCCCTTGGTGTCCCCTGGGCAGCCGTAGTCACACTCGTCGGCGAGTCCGTCGATCCATTCCCACTTCAATTGGCGTCGCCTCAACTTCCTTTGCGCGGCTTCCCTGCTGTCAACCATGCGTAATTTCCCTGCGTTACGGTACACAGAGTCTGACGCATCCGAGAATCTGATTTTGGCTGTGAGTCGGGCCAAGGGATCCCCAGCAAAGTTGCTCTCGACAAACACCCGATGGACAAAAATTGCACCAGTTGGGATAGGTGGTTTATCACATTCATATGATTCTTGGAACGGCCACAAAAAGATAGGCCCCGCTATTTGACACTGGACGAAATGCTGCACCCCTTTGAAAATCACTGGAATGATTCGATTATCCTTCAAATACCAGCAAACGTTGTGCGAACGGACTTCGCAACCATCCCCAGCATGGGCGAGTTCATGATGAAGTTATCCTTTTTTGAGGTCCCAAGTTGCTTAGGGTCGGAACAATTGGATCACAGTAGGTTTTCTCTAAAAAGCCAGAAGGACCGCAAAAAACTTGTTGGGTTGGGTCTCCCCATTTTGACCTACACACACACACACACACCATCCCCACCCCCTTTCGGGTCCGAAAATGGGCGATGTCGGACGTCCCAGAAACTGCGTCGATGTTTTTCATTTTTCGAGGTCCCTCCCCTAGCACGGCTTTTCACCTCGGCCTTGGAGCTTGGAAATGGAAACAACATGAGCCACAATCAAAACCCGAGTAAGTGAAGGTTAGTAAAAAACGATCCCAGCCATAAATAGCTGCCGCCTTCTTAGTTCTTGAAGCATGGTTCTGGGTCGACCACCGGGTTTTGACTGTGACTCACATGTTGGTCCCCTTGGAATGGAGTGGGGATCACACAGAGCCAGGCCTCAGGCTTCCTCAGAGAGGAGGCGCTGACGACCTTCGCCGAAGCGCGGGAGGTCTACCAGGCCGGACCGAGGCCCAAAAAGCGTGGAGCCGCCGCGGAGGCGTGTTTTTTTGCTTTTTTCGTAGGGGGGAGGGGGAGGGGGGAGCTCAAATATGGCCTGCGGGCTTGCTATGGGCTTATTTCCCCCCCCCCCCCTGGAGAGGGTTCCAGTTCGTTGCGGAGACAGTGTCTTGTTTTTTTGGGTGGGAGAGGGTGTCAGGGTTTCAGCTTTAAGGAACCTTGGAGCATACCTTTTTGAGCATAGTCACCTTCTGACCATATGAGGATTCCTTGTATGGGTCCGGGGTATGCTGGAATGTTATTGGATGTTGATTAGTATTTTTGGAGCGGGTTTTCAACGGAACCAAAAATAAAGAACGAAGACTTACCAACTTTGTGTGTTTCCTTTGTTGAACTGTTTGTTGCATAGCCAAGTGGGTCCCAGGTGTCTCGAATTAACTCGGTACGTAAACAATCAATATTCCTTTTGGTTTTTTGAGGGTGGGAAACCTGTATGTCACCTATACAGGGAAATGGAATCAGGAGAGGGGATGCCTTTAAAAACATACTGGTGAACAACAAAGGGCGCCTCAGAACCTTCCTTGTAAATTATTAAGTTGGTTGCCTCCCAACTACTCAAAGATCACCAAGCCCAATATTTAAAGGGCCCCTTGTCAAGTTGTCCGGCCGGTTCTTCTGTGCAGGGCGCACACGCCTTTACGCCTTTTTCAACGTCTGGGCATGCCCAGGCATGTGGCAAGTTTGGGTGGCTGCTGTTCGTTATGAGCTGTATGTCCGCCAGCTGGCTTTCCGCTTTCGCGCTGGCGCGCGTGCAGATCGATCTTTCTCAGACATTGAGTGGACGCGCGCACGGTTTTTCGCAGTTCGGTCCGCAAAGTCGCGCGAGGCGCTGGGAATTTACTCGCACGTCGCTTCTCGCATGTTAAGCGACTTGCCAACTGGGGTGAGCCACAACCAAAACCCGGGTAGATGAAGGTTAGTTGGGGACAATCCACCATTTTAATACCATATTTCGTTTGTAACTCACTTCCTTGCTGACGGGATTCGCCTAGAGCGTCTTTGCTGGGGCGCGTGTTTGCTTGTGAGGGTGCCTCTCTTTGTGACTTGCTTTCTTTGTGCTTTAAGCGGTTGCACCACTTGGCAATTTGAGACACGGGCGAGTAGGAATTTCAGTTGATAAATTGGCAACCCTGGTGGATTAATAGGGGGCGCAACCCAAATGGCCGTGGGTCAAAGCCAAATGGTACCATTTTGGGGTAGGTGCACCACCCATTTTAGTCCATTTTAGTGGGGATTGGGATGTTCACGGGGTACGGGATTTTGACCCATGGCCAAATCAGGACTCGTTTTGTTTTTCTCGGAGGGTGGGGGGGAGACTTCGCTGAACTTCGCTGAGGAAGCCATGCTTTGCACTGCACGGGGTCTACCTGGGCCCTCAAACTTCCCAGAACCATGGGTTATTGCAACCAAAAAAGGATGGGGTGATGTCAAAAAACAATCTGGGTTACCCAGAACCATGAGTTATTCCAACAAAAAAAGGATGGGGTGATGTCCAAAAAAAAGTCCGGGTGGTTTGAGGGTGTGCCTGACCATGTGGACCTTTGAACTTCCGCAGGATCCTAACCCTCGCGGTGTTTTCAGGGGGAGACTTTCCTTCGATCGGGATCGGCTGCGCTGGGTTCAAGTTTCAAGGAACCCGTTGAAGGGGTTCTAAGCAGGTCCCATGCAACTTGTGGTCACAATAATCTAAAAATGATTTGGGTATGGGTTAAAATAAAGCCACCCTTGGACCGCAGGTTTTGGTCCATTTAATCCATTTACCTGGGTTCCATGTTGGGTACCTATTTTGGACCCACAGCCATTTGTTGGAAATCCTTATGCCAGATGGTGCCAGATCTTTGTCGTAGTGGTGTTCTTCTACGGCTTGCAGAGTAGGATTAGGAATGCCCACATTTTGCGCAACCCAGGCATGCAAGTACACAGAAAGGTGACTATCAGGGGTCAATGGTTTATTGCACTGCCACTACCCACCTTACATGGACTGCCCCTTGATACTTGCTGGTTCTTGCGAAATCTTTGGGAATCAGATTTGCCTCCCTTTTTGCTTCCAGCAGTTTTACCCATTTGGGTTTGTGGCTTCACAACCCTGCATGTCGTTAAACAACGGTAAAGCACAGTAAAACTTGTAAGAATAGCTGATATTTTCGGGCATAATCGCGGCCTGGGGCGCTTCTCTGTTGTGTTTGAACTCGCCTTGCAAATTCCCCTCCCGCTTCACAAGGATGTGTTAGTACCTCCCCAAGTTGACCCTCTTTGCGAGGCCATCGGGGTCACGAGCTCCCCCGGCTATGCCGACCTTTTGGTGAACATCGGGCACATTGAGGAGACACGAGTCGGCGATTTTGTTGGGCGGAACCCTTGCGGTAAGCCAAAGGAAAGCCACCATTTGGGGGCGATACCGTAATTCTCGGGGCTGATTCCTTGTCCATTATTTTCAATCATCGTTCTTTCCAAAAACTGCCAGTTTCTCTGGGTTTCAAAGGAGGTCTTCTAGAAAGAAGGATCCTTGGAAAGAATGGGGAAGGTACCCCTATAGAGTAGTAAAAGACACCCTAATGGAGCGCAGCATTTCACCCTCCCTTGAGGTGAGCACAATTTTATACCCATGAATGGATGAATGGTGCAAAGGGACACTCTCAGCCACACATCGGTGCACCTGCCCCCCTCCAAAAAGAATCGTTCTTCAGATGTTCCTGAAATTCCTGGATCCTCAACCTACCAATTGGCGCCAAAATGGTGTCCTATTTTTGAAGGGTAGCCTGAGGTCCAGGAGAAGTTGGAGCAAAGGCCCGGTGGAGAAAGAGCGGAGCTTGCAAGCGAAATGAGCCAGCTCCTTTCCAGCTCAAAGCCTACAGCAGCACAGTGAGCCAATGAGATTTGAGGCTGGCTTGCTTTGGCCCAGCAATTCCATTTCCCTGGCTGAATACTGGCTTTAACGGCTGTTTACCTACGACAGGGGCAACTAAAGTTCCACGGCATAGGGACAGGGTGGGTCGGAGGCCTGGTTTCGGGATGAATTGCTTGGTTTGACAGTCGGTCTTGGTATAATAACCCAAACTCCAAACCAATTCCGAGCCTGAACACGAAGCTAACCTAAACCCCGCCCTATTTGACCTCAACACCACTCCCGGCCAACCCAAAATCAACCCGACCTAAAGTCCGCCCATATTTGCCCATCCCCCTCAACAAATCCTAAGCTTACCTTTGCCCACTCCGAAATCAAAATTAAACCCACCTTAGGCCAACTGCAATGGGTGACTGCTGTGGGTAGAAATTCCCAAAAGCGAGGGATATACGCTCCCGAAGCAGACACCCTTGTGGCTTGGCCTTTAGGCTTGATTCGGGTCGGGAGTTCTTGTGCTTCACCGAGCTTTTCGCGCCTTTGCGAGGGATTCGGTTTTTGTCTTCAATCCATTTGCAGCCCCAATCGGTCATGTTTCTTTTGTTGAGGCTTCTGGTGGTTCTCTTTTACGCCTTTAACCCCCCCCAGCTGTGTCAGGGTTACTTGTGTTTGTAGTTCAGACCATTGCATTGCTTGGCCACCTAGGTTGGTTTCCATCCGGTGCACGCTTTGCATCTAGTGGTTTGCCTTTTGGTTTCCTTTGAACTCCTCGCAACCCAAAAAAAGACAAAAACAACATATTACATATCCCTCACAAAAAGACGCACCCAGTCCGACATGATTTTACATCGCATGTCAAAGGGGGCCCTGAAACCTGGTGGTTTTCCTTTCGGTCTTCTTTGCTCCATGTTTTTTTGTTGGGTAGCGGTTGGCAAAGGGAACGTCCCTGAAACAGATTGGAGGGCTGGGGTTGAAAGGGACGCCCAACCACCAACCAAACCCGACAATCAACTGGAGGTCAGAGTTGGGCCTGTGGCAGATCCCCGGAAAGTTCTGCGGGGAAGTTTGGAATTGGATTTTCACAAATCCCTGGAGCTGGCCCAGTACTTTTTTGGGAATTGGTTTGGCTCAGTATTGTTTTAGTATTTGTGTACTGGCCCAGATCGTGCGCCTGTCTTTGCGCCCATTGACATGAATATGAGGCCCTTAAACAGACTGTATGGGCTGAAGGCTAGACATGTTGATGCCACTTTCATGGACCCAGGGGAAACCCAAAGAATCCCAAGCACAGGGGTACGTTGCATGTGGTTCGTCGTTGAGAGTTCTGAGGCTTCTCCTTAACACAAAATTTCCCGCGGCTGGTGATTGAAAACCTCAATGTTGCTCGTTCGGTTGCTAAGTGGGTAAATGGTCACTCATGTCCTGCTTGCGGCCTCTGAATCATGCAGCAAAGACCCAAAACAGCTACAAGAAACACTTCCATATATGCTAAAATGAATATGTCTTATTTTCCTCCGTTGGTTTCAAAGGGGATCGATTTCACTGCTAGATGTTGTTTTTCCACAGCGCGAAGCTGCAAATGGTCTAGGGGTAACTTCCCCATTCTTTCCAGGGATCCTTCTTTCTAGAAAACCTCCAAACACCCTCAAGAAATGGCGATCGGTTTTTGAAAAGAACGATGGCTGAAAAGAATGGAAAAGGAATCAACCCCCAGAAATGGCCGGGCGGGGGCTTCAGGAGCATTTGGACCGCCCAGAGCCGGCGGAGGAGGCATTCCGAGAGGCGCTGAGGCGCAGCGCTTGGTTTTCAATCGCTCGTATCTTACTTCCCGAGTTCCCTTTCGGAGCTTTAGTCACTTTCTGGGCTTGTTTTTTTTGTTTGTTTTGCTATATAGTTAGTGGTCAATGCACCTTTTTGGGTTCGGTTGCCATTTGGGTATAGGGCAAAATTAAACCACCATGGGAACGCAGCTTTTACACCTTGGTTCCATTTGCCAGGTTCCATTTTGGGTACCTGTTTTTGACCCATGGCTATTTTGGGGGCATACCTACCAGAAGTTTGTTGATTTTTGTTGGGGCCATCCGCTCGATCGGAAGTGGGTCTGAAGTCGACCTGTCGCCTTTCGGCCAGGATCTTCCAGGGCTGTGGGACCCGCGGCGTGCTGCTGGCACAGGCAGGGGGCAGCCGGGTATGTCCGAGTGATTTTTTTTAAGGGTAGCCCTTTTAGAATGAGGACCAAAGGGACAACTGCCTCTCTTTTCGTTTTGTTTTCCGGGGTGGGGGGGGTCGCATTTTTAAATACACACTTCCGTGATAAATTCTTGGGCCAAAGAGGGTGGTCTTCCTTCTGGCTTTCCTTTCACCCAACTTGGAAAAGGCTCTTGCAACTTAAGTCAGTTTTCTCCGAGGACCTGTGGATTTCATGTGGGAGAGTTGTGGCAAGCACCTGATTGAACGTGCTTTGGTAACTCAATATTCTGTTGGTTCCCTTGCTCCTTCAGCCCCAAAATCATAGGTTCTTCCTTTTAGTTTCCCTTTGAAACCAACCGGAAGAGGTTCCCCCCAAAACAGCACCCTCAAATTCCGTTTGGTCTCCATGTACATCGGGCCAGGGTCTGGTGGTTTTAACATGTTGTTTCGCCCAATCTTGTATTAAACAAGTCAAGTTAGTAAGGGACGATCCCAACCAGAAACAGCTGCGGCCGCCTTCTGAATTCCTTACCTGGGTCTGGGTGGACCATTCCAGTACCGGGTTTTGATTGTGACTCAAGTCTGATCTGGAGGATCAATCTAGTCAACCCATTGAAGTCGCTGCCCAGCAAAGGGGCAGCGGGCCTACCCCTGATTAGCACGGTTCCCCGGCTTAATCTGAAATTGATGTCAATCCAGGAACCTTCACGGAAATGACACATCTGTTTATTTGCTGGGCCTGCGGCCTCTAGCCGGCTACGCCTCTTTGAAGTTATGCCACGTCATGTCAAGTTTTGTGCATGAGAAACGTATCCTGTGCTATGATATGGCTATGTTGCCCACCTTAACCCCAGATAATGCCGGGGATGCCGGCTTTCTGGGCCCCAGCCGGGCCCCAACCCAGAAGGCTGACATGGGGTCGCGCGCGCACGCGCGCGCGCGCGCCAGAGGACCCCAAAAAAGCAGTCCAAAAAGAGCAGTCCGCAAGCCAGCCCGGAAAACCAGTCCCAGACTGGTCGCAGGACCGGTCCTGGGACCGGTCCCGGGACCGGTCCCGGGACCGGTACCGGTCCTGGGAATCCACTTTTTGTGCTTTCGGGCGTGTTTACCAGGGACCATCATTGGTTCCAATCACTTCCAGTTGCATCCCACGCCGGTCCCCTCTGCAGGAGGCTGGGACGGGAGGCAGAGGGTCGGCGGATTTGGGGGGGAGGTTCTGGGTGGGATCTTTCCAAAAGGTGACCTTTGTAAGGGATCTCCTTGCAGCTCGCGACACCTTTAGAATTGCCCGGGTCCGTGCTCCCACGTGCCCCCCACAAGGCACCGAACCAGGGGGGTTCGGTTGAAAGAAATGTATGGGCGGTACCCCAAAGGAACGCTGAAGTCTGGGCGCTTTGCAGACGAGACTGTCGCAAGGTCATTTTTGGTGCTAGTCAGGCCCTTCACAGGAGGAACCTCCTCGAAGAAGGCTTCGCAGAATACTCCTGCTCCGCTGTACGTTTTGCTCTTAGCGCAGACACAACAGAGCCGCTTCGCAATTGAGCTTGCCAAGGCGTTTTGGTGCTGAGAACGCCGTCCCTGCGTGTGCGCAGAGGTAAGCAGCGACACAGTCCAAGGAGTGGCCAGGTGGCACGCACGCTCATCGGGGTTCCACGGCGGGTGTGGATCAAACACCCGCGACTCCGATTTGGCTTGCGCACGCCCCACGAAGAGGATGTCTGCACATGTCTGCACCAGCAGCCGCCTCACTTAGAAAGAAAGATTAACGGGTAGACGGGGCTTGGGTTGCAATGACTCACGCGGTTGGTGGTATGTTTTTGTTTTTTACGCAAATCATATCCATTTCCCCCAAGGCACCCTTGCATTTTTGTTCCTGTAACCGGGCAACCAACAGTATCCTCCCACATCTTGTTTCCCTGCACGAGGTCCGAGACGGTCTTGGGTTTAGGCGCTGTGAGCGCCAAAGTTCCCCGGGCACTCCCCGGACCAAAGTTTTCCGGCGAGAGAAATTCATTTTCTGTGTGTTCAGGAGGAACATTTGGGCCACACTCAAAACCCGGGTAGATCAAGGTTAGTAAGGGACACTCCCAGCCAGAAACAGCTTTGGCCGCCGTTGTATTTCCTTACATGCTTCTGGGTCAACCATTTCAATTTTCAATACCGGGTTTTGATTGTGACTCATTCGGGCCTCAAGGCTCGCGAGCTCACTTTCAGGTGTGGCTGAAGCTGGGCAAGGTCTTGCGGCGCAAGGCCCTGAACGCCCCAGCTCCGAAGCCCGTCGAGGCGCGGACATGGGGGGGCATGGGGGGATCTAGCGGCACATGTAAGCCTGAGAAACACACTGAACCATTTGGGGACCCACCGAAAATGGGGTGTTTCCTGATGGTCTCCCTGTAAGACCACGCCAAGAAAAAGGTGGTTACCCGCAAAAGAAGGCACAACCATCTCAGGATATCCCTACTTGATAATTGGAACCTCCCACCCCTTCTACACCTGGTAACATGTAGGGTGCCGCTAGTAATTTTATGGATCTTGATTTCTTCTAGTGGATCCACCCATATGGTCGGTGGTTAGAACATGGGTTCCTGAAGCTTCTGTTCCTAAGTACAATGCAGTCGCACCCATTTCGCCTCGGTCCCTGAGCTCCTGGAGTTCGTCCTTTATCAGTTTAGTGGTGAACAAACAAATTGGACTGTTTAGTGGGCCGCTCTGGCTCCAAACTGCCAACCAAGCTTGGAGAAGACGAGTCTGCAGCCTTAGGTGTTGGGCCAACCTTGTTCGACTTCCCCAGTTTGGTTTCACAATGTTTGCCCCCCAGAAAAAGAAGTTAGTCAAGGGTCTCTGGGGCCTCTGCTTCTTTTTCCATCGAACGGACGGGCTTTCAGGGCTCATCCTGTCATCACCAGAGATGTTTCCACCAATTCCACTGGCACCAGCTGTCCGACCCCCCCCCCCCGGCCTCCCCCCGGCACGACTCGCAACCGGAGGCAGAGGCGGCGGAGGCGTGCCGGAAGGCCCGCGCGGAGTTCGAGGTGGGGAAATCCGGGGAGTCGTGGGTTTTTTCCCAGAGGATCTGAGGGTCTGAGGGTTTCCACTAAATCAACCAAATGATTGACCATCAATACAAATCAGCCTAGCCAGGGGAGGTGGAAAACTCTGGGTTACGAAACTTGGTGCGAAATCGGTCGGGGAATGTGGTTGAATGACCCGGATAGTTGAATAAAGGAAACCAGCTGGATGGTTTATAGAGTCATTCCATTTCAATAGTGAATCGCATCAACCAGATGTTCAACCATCAATAGAAACCAGCCTAGCCGGGGGCCGTGGAAAAGCTCTGGGCTACGCAACTTGGTGCGAAATCGGTAGGGGAATGTGGTTGAATTACCCGGATAGTCGAATAAAGGAAACCAGCTGGATGGTTTATAGAGTCATTCCATTTCAATAGTGAATCGCATCAACCAGATGTTCAACCATCAATAGAAACCAGCCTAGCCGGGGGCCGTGGAAAAGCTCTGGGCTACGCAACTTGGTGCGAAATCGGTAGGGGAATGTGGTTGAATTACCCGGATAGTCGAATACAGGAAACCAGCTGGATGGTTTATAGAGTCATTTCATTTCTCATCCCCTACTATACAGCAGCAAGTCAATCAAGCAAATGAGTGTAGTGAATCGCATCAACCAGATGTTCAACCATCAATACAAACCAGCCTAGCCGGGGGAGGTGGAAAAACTCTGGGCTACGCAACTTGGTGTGAAATCGGTAGGGGAATGTGGTTGAATTACCCGGATAGTCGAACAAAGGAAACCAGCTGGATGGTTTATAGAGTCATTCCATTTCTCATCCCCTACTATACAGCAGCAAGTCAATCAAGCAAATGATCGTAGTGAATCGCATCAACCAGATGTTCAACCATCAATACAATCCAGCCTAGCCGGGGGAGGTGGAAAAACTCTGGGCTACGCAACTTGGTGCGAAATAGGTAGGGGAATGTGGTTGAATTACCCGGATAGTCGAATAAAGGAACCCAGCTGGATGGTTTATAGGGTCTTGCCATTTTTCATTCCCTACTATGCACCAGCAAGTAAATCAAGCAAATGATCGTAGTGAATCGCATCAACCAGATGTTCAACCATCAATACAAACCAGCCTAGCCGCAAAAGGTGGAAAAACTCTGGGCCACACAACTTGGTGCCAAATCGGTAGGGGAGTGTGGTTTGACAAACTCTAGTGGAAGCGTCCCGAGTCTTTCCATCAATCCGTCCTTTTTCAGGAAACCATCAAACAACCCAGGGGAATCTTTTCAGTATTCCATATATATTTTTTCGGAAACCATTAAAAGGCCCGGGCGAAGCAGCGATCGGATAAGGAAGAAAGGGATGGTTGAAAAGAATTGGGAATCAAACTCTAGAAAAATCGACCGACCGACCAACCGACCAACCGGCCAACCAACCAACCAGCCCGCTTGTTTCTCATTTTCGGGCCAGAAGGAGACTCCAGCTACCTTCCCAGTTGCCACCAAGTCGCTGCACCTGAAAGAATTGATTGGAAACCATGTACCGCACTAGACCACCTGAAGTAGAGATGAAGTAAACCTGTTTCCACCAGCTACTTGCATGAACCTTTAGGAATCAAGCGGAGTTTCGGGAAGGAACCTGGAGATTCCCTTGAGGGAAAGAACAAGAGATGGTGGCTAGGGTAATTCCCTCATTCCGTGCCCGGAGGCTCCTGGCTTCGGCTTTCAATGGAAGACTCAACCCCCTCTATTGGACACTCCGTTTTGGGGTTTGGGATCTCAAAGCCCGGCTGTGGCCTGAAACAAGTCGCATCGGAGCGGCTATAACTTCAGCCAACTGTTCACCAGAAATCTGGGATCAAGTGTAAGTTTAGATTTCGAGGGGAGTAGTAGCAAACAAGGGTCGAATTCCTTTGTCTGGCAGGCTCAAAACAACAACAATGACAATCGGCACACCTGTCAAACAAATCATAATATCCCTTCGAAACCGATCACCAGCATCAAATGATGGTATTATAACCTCACACATCAAACGAGAAACAAGACACCTGCCGAAATTGGCAAAACGTGCGCAGCCCCTAGCATGTTGACAAATAAACATTCTGTTTGCAGCCCCAAACCCCAAACCATAAGCAGACAGAACCGAACATCCCAAAACACATTATTGGCAGTGAATAACAGTAAACCAAGAGTCTCGTGCGCAGGGCAGATTTGTACAATGCTTCCCAAGCATTTTGGTAGTTACCCTATCCAAAGACCGATCTGAACTATATACCCCAGTCAGGATAAACATGTTTGCAAGCGCCTTTAGGCGTGTGGCGCCGTGGATGGTGAGGACTATGAGGACTGCAGGGCAATTTCTGTGATATGCAGGGGAGCCTTTCTTTGAAGAGAGAAAGTAGTCATGGGGATGGCCTACCCCTGATATTACAGAATGACTCTTCACAACCATGGGCAAACGAGGTTGACTCTGTATGAACCCCAAGATTGGAACCCCCGCTGGTCCATAAAAACCCTTCACTTGGAAGCATAGGGTAGCTTATGGGATGCTCCTTGAGATCCCCTTGTTTCCTTTTGCTTTGGATGGGGGCACTTGCTCCGTGCCAAATAAAAGGGTAATTGATAGGCCCTGTTTGCCTCTGCACCCATGAGGTGCGTCAGGAGTTGTTTTTCTTCGCGATGTCAGTTCTCACAGTGACTGGGCGATCTTAGAGGCCAGGCAATTGGCACATCCGTGCGTGTATGAGGGAGTGTCTTGGTTTGTTGGTGGTGGCTTTTGAGTCGGTACCCTTTTCACCTTGGTTCAAAAGGAAGCCCAAAACAAAGCCTCCCAGTTTTCAGGTCTTCCTTTGACACATGCGCGTTGTCCGTCCCAAAGCATCGTCCGACCCTGGGACCATTTTAGGGAGTCCGGGTTTGTCTCTCAAAAGAGCCACTCAAGGAGGATTCCCTCCCCCAAAAAACAAAAGAAGGGTTCCTTCCCAACAAAAGCACACACACACACCAAACCTGCCCAGCCCCCTACCCCCTACCCCTACCCCCTACCCCCAGCCTACCCCCTACCCCCACTCCACCGATTTTGTGTCAGCTAGGAAGCCCTCGAGTTCTCGCTGGATGGTGCTTTCCCAGCCACCAAATGTTCGCGCACCTTGGATCGAGTTTTCGGAGACACGAGGAACTGACGTGATGTAATTCCCCATTTCCTGTCATGACCCCACGTTTAAAGGGTACTGCCTTTGTGTGTTGGAGTTGGTGCCCCGTTATTATCGGGCAAAAGGACAACTGAAGAAAGACAAACTCAAATACGCAAGCAAGGTGACACATGTCGATTCCTGTCTCACACACAGAAAATCATTATTTATAGGAATTGGCAAGTTTTGTGGATCCATTTACTTGTCTGTATAGTAGGTAACCAAGACAACCACCCGTTGTTGAAGCCAAAAGTACAATGGATCGAAGGGTTCCTATAGGGGGCACGTCCTTACATATTGTTCCCCGTGTGGCTTCCTAGGATTATGGAAATGGATTGAATCATTGAACAGCCCAGAACGACGGGTTTATTAGCCCGTATTAGCCCATCCACTCACGCCCTGAGTTCCTACTGAAGCGCTGGTGCAGGACCTCACGCTAATTGAGAGTAACCCGTCGATCCGTTTGCCCTTTTGCTTTTAAAGGTGGTTCCCTAAACGGGACCCCCAAAAATGTTTGGCTTCCGTTTGGTTTCCCCTTAAACCCAACCAACAAACCCTCACAGGGAACTGGAGTCACGAACGAACTAGACAAGTTCCGACTTTGCGGGTCAATCTTGTGTGTCTTGCCCGAACCTTCCTATTGACATGAGCAGCGTTCTAATTACTCTGCAATTGAAAGTGGTAGCCCAGTTGCGAAAGGTTCGCATAGCCCCCTTGGATGCCTTCTACGAAGTTGTTGCGTTTCCATTACCGTAACAAGGACTCAGACACAGGGTGACGCGCCGCACCGTCGGTGGCATGGTGCGCCCACGACTGTTCTAAACTCAGGTAGCATTTTTGGATGCTTATGTAGCATGGCATGGCTCTTGTAATGCGCAGCTAGTTCACAAGTAGCGCAACAAAGAAGCAGCCAAAATGCGCACTGGAATCTGAAAGTGCCAGGCGAGATTCGCGTACGCTCCGCATAAGCTCCGCATAAGCTCCGCGCAAGCTCCGCGTAAGGGCCGAGTGCCTCGCCCCAGCTCCAGCCAGCCCGGCCCACGCCGCCCAAGCCCAAGCCATGATTCCAAATATTCCAACTTACTTCCAGGCATCGGCGTGAGGTTGCTGCAGCTCGGTTGGCTTGTTTTGTACTGCAGCTTGTGCGCACGTTGAAAAGCTCTGCTTTTGTGGTTTCGCCGTGTTCGCGCAATCGAGAACACACGAAAGATAACTTCCACACAAAAACTCAATGCGCGCAAGCGCCGGGTAGGCGTTTGCCATGTAGACACCACTCGCGTAAGCTACCCTCGCAGCCGCGGAACCCCCGCCTAGGCCCTCACGAAAGGAATTTGATAGTGTCTGGCCCGCACAATGATTTAGAACAACGCTCACACGTTTCTCAAACTAGGAATCGGACACCTTACCTGAAGAATTCTCATGGCCGGAGTTTACCGGACTGAACGACGATGCCGCACAATGCCGCGGGAAGGGTCAGAAGTGAGGCTTAAGGCTTAAGGCAACCATTCCCCCCAACCTTCACGGCATTCTCCCCATGCCGTACTTCGGACGTCCTTGGACCGGGGAGCGATTTTGTGAGATGTTCTTAATGGCAGAAAGCTGCTATTCACTGTGTATATATATATATATGTATATATATATATATGTATGTTGCGAAATGACCAACTTTAAAGGGCCGTAGCCCATTTCCCGGCCCATATAATCTGCAGGAATTGGTTCATCTCTGTGTAAAGGGGTATCGGTTTGTCATGTTGCCCTATCAGTTTCTTTGGTAATATCGTCGAGCTTTCATATGGGTGCTTCTCAAAATATCCCCCCCAATACGGGATCATTGGTGGTTTTCCTTTCGGGGTCCTTTAGTTTTGAACCTGTGCTGATTGGCTCAGACGCTGGGCTCTTCTAGGGAGGGTGCGACCCCGTTTAGGGGCCTCACAACTCGCGTTTGTTCAAGGCCGAAAGTAGTCACGGCTTCGAATCTTTTCCTTTTTTGAGCAGTCAACATCTCAGCTGGCTTCCATTTTACCAGTGTCACTGGGTGTGTTTCTTCACCCAACAAAGGCTTCTTAGTTCGGACATGTTTCCCCAAACCTGTCTGTCCTCATCATGGCATGCATGGCTTCTGCGACCAGGAAGTTCCCTCATGTTCATAGTTCCGACTCGTTGCACGCATCCTGGCTTTCACCAGGTTTACACCTTATATGTTAGATACGTGGGTATAGTGAGGCTTCTGAGTTCTTAGCATCTGCCTTCTGGTGGCGCCAAACACGAACGGGATGCGGCCCGGCTCGCACGCTTAGCGCCGGCAGACCCAGGCTTGCCGAAATACACCAGCCTCCGGGCCTTTCCTCGTCAGCTGAGCCAGCGCAACGCGGCGCCAGCGCCAACCTTCACCATCAGCCGCCGCGGCCTTTACGATTCCGGTGAGGCGGCGCCGGTGTCTGCCGCCCTGTGGGATCTGCCGCAAGGACATTTCAAAGCGGATCTGGCCGCATGAACTGATTTGTTGGAGGGTTGGATTGGGATCTTTTGGAGGTTTGGACCTCCACGGTCTCAGGTCCCAAGACTAGGGTCAGAAACTGAAGCAAGCTCCAGGACCTTGCCGGCAAAGCCGGCCGCTTGGTTTACTGTCGTCGGTCTGTGAGTCTCCACCCGAACAGTCCTCATGGATTTGGAGGAACACATACACTTTTGAGACAGCATACTTCATCTTAAGTAGTAGCCTTGGGGAAATAGTTCTGTGGGAATGTGGCAAAGTGGAGACTCCATGCGTTGAGTCCAGGCACTACCTGGACCCTCAACAAACCCTTTAAAGCGAGGCAAATTGCGCAAAATTATGGGGTAGTTTCAACATTTTGTCAGGGTAGTGTGAGGGTCCAGGCAGGGCAGTGAGGATCTCGAGCTGTGGACACAGGCCAGCGTTTGAACGCAAACGCTGCTGGCATGGCTGCGCAAGCCTCTGGATGCAATTGTTTCTTCTTGGAGCCTCATCCTGACTAGTTGCCATGACACGAATAGTTCTTTTGGGCGCCCTAGGAATTCTGGTACCTCAAAAAGGGCAATGCTCAATCCTTCCAACGCAGATCCGGATCCAACCCTCCCAATGGAATGCCCTCCACCCTCAAACTATCCCGAGAGTGTTTTTGCCGTGGCCTTTGCAAGAGTCCGTTAGTTGGACTGAACTCCCCCAAAATGGAAATTTCACTTAAATCACCCACCATACAGTTTTGGGTAGAGCAGCCCGTTGGAAATTGAGCCACAAGGTGGCTCGTGGTCAAGGTGGTCGCCTTTCTTTCGCATTCCCATTTTGAGGTCCCAGTTTTAAGTGGCGACTTGGTGCGGCCTTTTCTATGGCTTCAAACCACACCAAACCCAGCGGAACTGGCCGGGTATTGAAAAGAACGCCCGCAAGTGGGGAATGGCACCCAGGTTCCAGATCAGTGCTTGCTCTGGGTGTCTGTTCCTGTTTTTCTGTTCCTGTTGACCCTTTTTTCTTGCTGTTCCTGTTGACCCTTTTTTCTTGCTTGAGGGAAACAAGAGAGGAAATCTCGAATTTGTTGGGCCTCGCTTTGAGAGATGGTCATGTTCACGCTTTAGCTTACGAAGGGCGTACAAGACAGCGCCAGCCTTCAGGGCTCCATACGACTCTCACTATGGATGCATCTGCGGGCTTTCCTTCTGGACCCAAGGGGGAGACACAAGAATACCATCCCCTAAGATCCCCAGGCCACAAATAAACAAGGCCATTGACCTCGACAGACCTCCAATCGAAGGTCATAGATCCCTACCGGATGCCTTTTTATGGGACTCCCTTTCTCAGGCTTGGGCAAGAAGCAAAAAAAACCAAAAAAAAAACGCGTTTTTCCTCCCTTTTGAGACCCTTTTCCCTATTTGCTGGGACCTGACGAACTTCGTTCCCTTCAAAGTGTCCTTTCTCATTGCTCGCCGCGCACGCCGTCCGCCCGAGCGCGAGAGACTTCGATCAGGGCCTCTCGAAGAGAGACCTGGGCGAAGCGAGAGGAAGCCGAAGGAACAAAGGTGTAGGAGTCTCCATGACCCTTAAAACATGGGTCCATGACTCCTTGATTTTGGGTAATGACTCATGACCAACCATTCTTTTTAGGGTCATGGAGACTCCAGGTACTCAGCTTTTTGTGTCAGTCGGAATCTCACGCAACTCACTTGACGTGCCCACCAAGGAAGCCGAGTAAAAGAGAGAACGTAAACTACGCTATGAAAAGCGTCCTGAAGTTTGAATGTCGGGCCAAAGAGATGTGTGTGCATGTGCGTGTGCGTGTGCGTGTGCGTGTGCGTGTGGGTGTGGGTGTGGGTGTGGGTGTGGGTGTGGGTGTGGGTGTGGGTGTGGGTGTGGGTGTGTGTGTGTGTGTGTGTGTGTGTGTGTTTGTGTTTGTGTTTGTGTTCGTGTTCGTGTTCGTGTTCGTGTTCGTCTTTGTGTTTGTGTTTGTGTTTGTGTTTGTGTTTGTGTGTGTGTGTGTGTTTGTTTTTTTGTTTGTGTTTGTTTTTATCGGGGACTACCCAAAATGATCCAACTCGTGTTTTCCTTTTGGTTTCCCTTCAATCCCACTAAAAAGGGGTTCCCTCAAAAAGAACCTCATGGTCTATTCTAGGGAACCCCTGTTTGGGGGGGGCGTGTCTTCAGGGCAAACAAAAGGGAGACAAACCCACATGTTTGCAAAGGCCTTGGCATGTTGGAGGCCTTGGGTTTTGCCATCTGTGAGAATTCTGAGTGCCATAGAATTGGAATCCCCAAAGTGTCGAAACCCTCCGGGCAAAAGCCCTTCCCAGAATGCTTTGTGGTCGTTTATATGCATGCGTTCATTTGTTTAACGGACCTCATGTAATATTTACGCACGGCGTGGAACGAGCTGAACACGCGTGAAGCTTGAAACCACTGTTGACGGCGAAACTCAGGTAGCCCTGCTTGATTCAACCACTAAAACTTTCAAGCAAGCCAACAGCAGTCCATGCTAAGATCCAGGATTGGCAAAGATACATTTTGCTCAAGTTGAAACATGGCCTTTTCCAATAAAATCAAGGCAAACCACCATTGACAAGGCAATGTTCAGGTGTATAATGTAAGGATCCCTGTTGGGGTTGGACACATTGGGACTGTGCGAAATACTCACGATATGTTGCCCAGAAAGAGGCGGAAAGAGGCCACCGCATGGATGTGAAGAGACCCTGGCGGAGAAGGGTGAGTCCGATTGCTGACACCCGAAACATGGATGAGTTCTTGCTGGCTCCCAGCCATCCCCGTAGCCTTTTGGCCTTTTAGTGTTGAGTGGTAGTTTCCATTTAACCCACCAAAAGTTAAAGTCTTATGGGGGATCTGAGGCCAGCCCAGAGTTTGATCTGGAGAAGGGAAGGAACATGTTGTTGGGGTCCCCAAAAGGAGATGCCAATGAGAATCTTGATTTCAGGGACCCGCCAGTCTGGTTTCCTTTCTGTTGGTTTCCCTGTAAACCTGGAAACGGGGTATCCAAAAAAGACAAGCCCACGTTCATCAGGGCTGCGCTTTGAGTTGCGACTGAGGTGCCCTTGGACCAGGCGCGATCCGCCGAGCCAATTGCCCACTTTCTGTACACTTTGGTTCCCACCAGGCGAAGTTGTTGACCATTTTGAATTTTGGAAAATTCGACGCATGTAAACGCATTTTGTAAAAATCAACACATCAAAAAGCATCAAAATTCAAGGGTCTTGAGGTTGAATCGACTGTTTTTTGATGAAACTCAGTTGATTTTGGCCGAAATTCGGGGGTTTTGGTTTGGAAATGGACGCCAAATACATTCTCGCTCTTCAGAAGGCTGGAAGCCGCGACTCGAGGTCTTGCCTTTCCATTCGGCCGGGTGATCGACCTGTTGCTCGTTTAAAGAAAGCTTGGTGTGGAACCGCGGGCCCACGTGGAACTCGAAATGCCACGACTTTGCGAGGGTGCCTTGTTTGGGGATATTCCCCCACCCCCTCCCTTGTGGATTTTGAAGGGAAAGCAAGTTGGGGCAAACAAAGGGATTGAGTTGTTTTGGGTTGGCCCGTGCCTTTAAACAACCCAACCCCCCTTCAAGGGCTCACTTGGATAGACACTTGTGGGATCTTCGGAGGATGGCTGGCGTTGAGAAACACCGCTTTTTTCAGGGGCGTTTTCTGCCTGACCTCGCGTGACGATGTTAGTTGCCTGACTCCTGATAAGCACACCTCTAAAGCATGGAATCTGGAACTTCTGCATGGCAAAGGCCAAGACTTCTGGGGTCTTTGGATGGCTTTGGGTCGGGGCTCTTTCCCTTTTGAGCCATTTCAAATATCACTCGCTGGCTGCCAATGTCAAGGAATTTGCAGTGGTGATTCAGTGGACTCGTTTAACGGGTTTCAGAACCACCAAATATCACCATTTTGACCCCCCCCCCCCCCCGCCCAAGAACACCCAACGACTGCTTTCTCCCGTTCGCTTTGAACCACACTGTTGGGAAGGGCAGTCCTGCGGTGCGGCAATTCTTAAGATCCTTACCTTGAGTTACGAAAGGATGGTCCTGCGGCGCGGTACTTTGATTCTTGAAGAGTGGATTCCTTAGTTACCTACCATGAGGGCCCCCCCTGGGGTATGGTTTCCTTGAGAAAGCAAGCCTTTGAATGGAGGGAAGGGTACAGAAAATCCAAGCAGCCCAGATTCGTAGTGACCTGCTCGGCTGAGAATCTCTGTGTGTTGTCCTGTTGAACTTTTGAGAGATGGTGCTCAAGTTCAACAAGAGATGAGGTGAGCTTGTTTCGGATATATATATATATATATATATGTATGTGTGCCAACTTCGGGTGAAATTGGATGACAGTACCCAGAGGCTGTTCCTCGTTTGGTGGGGAACTGATTCATAGGAGGCTTCCCTGATTAGAGGGATCCTCCGAATTAATCCGAAGCTAACAGAGTTTTAATAAGGACTCTTGTGAAAACGACTTGAGCTTGCTGCTAGTTGAAGCTAACATGCGCCCTCCCTGAGCCGACCTGCGTGCTCCCCTTCCGCCGACAGGTAATGGAGTCTTTGGACTCTTTGCCAAAGGCCGGGACTTGTCACGTTTTCGGAGCTGGGGCGCCTCGACATGTTCTTTTTAAGGCTGGACAAAAATATGGACCGGAGTCTGACGATTGTGAGTGTGTGTTCTTTTTCAGCCGAGTGCCCAATTCGCATGTTTATCAACGACTCTCTTTGGGTTGCGTGTTTTTTGGCGCTTTGGGGGAACTTTAAGGAACTCGGGTACCTCGTGATTGGCTCACCTGGTGATAAGCCAATTGTGCCTGTTCTCAGTCCCCTTTCCGTGGGGCCCCCGTAGGGCTCAGCATCAGTTTCGGGCGAGAAAAATCGGCCGGGGTGCGCCTGAGTAGAAGCGCAGCAGAAAGAAGGGGACGGGCGGAAACACAGACTCACAGACCAGGACGTACACGCAGAAAGACACAGACACGGAGACAGACAGAGACGCAGGTATAGATACAGAGACACAGAGACGCACGCAGACAGTCTCAGACACACAGGGATAAATCAACACAGACACCGCACACAAAGACAAACAGCCACACAAACAGAGACAGAGACACAACCACGAACTCATACACGCACACGTGCACGCACAACGACTGAGACATCAACGGAAACGCACGCAG